CAATAGACAATTAAGATAACAAAAGATTCTAGTGTTTGATGGAAATGTATCGCGGAAAGACTTAATATCGCTCTGATATGATCAGACTACCATGGTGAGGTATCAATAAAGATCAAACTCGGCTCAACATGAAACAGTCCCTCATGTTCAACAATACTGGTAAATATTCAACGATTAGCCAAAATCTACGAACAACTGAAACAGTTGACTGTGCTTCAGAATTACACATAAATTACGAATAGAATCACAAAAAATTTAGAAACTTTCACACGCATTGTTCCCCCATCATAAAAATTGATAAATACTGTTACCCTTGCCGTACAGCTTAACAGTTCACTTCACTAACCTTTGCCCATGGATGAGCTTTGATTTGCGGAAACTTGAACTCCTTGTAATTGGGGTTCATGCTTTGAATTTGCTCCTTTGTTGGCGTACCGAGTACCTGAACAGCATCATAAAATTCACTGTCGAGGTGAACAACAATGCTTAGTTAAGCACAAAGTGAGTTAGTTCTTACCTTTATAATTTCTACAAGTTGATCAACACCTGAGTCACCAGGGAAGATCGGTTGACCGAGCAAAAGTTCAGCCATCACTGTGCCTGCTGACCAGACATCGATCGAATTTGTGTAGTTGGTAGCACCAAATATAAGTTCCGGAGCACGATAATACCGAGAGCAGATATAGGACACATTTGGCTCCCCCTAGAATGAATTAGTGCGATAGCAGCGTACCATCAATGACCTTATAAAGCAACAGCAACTATACGTTGAAAAACAAAAAGGGGAAGATAGAAAATGCTGCAGAAAGAATTTTTATCTATACAAGTCGGGCCAATTCCGTCGAATTTTCTTCAACCGTTCTCGTGTGAGCTATTAAAAAATTATGTGAATTTATGTCAGGACTGCACTACACTGATGTCTCATCATAAGATGAGAAGAAAAACACAAAACTTCTCAATGCTCAAGTTCGGAAGAACACCAGAACACCACACAAGACAAGAGAACTCTAAACAAATGACACCTTCCAGAATTTGTTAAAGGATTTTCACATGAATTCAAAAAGTATAAGACGTGATAGCTTAGAGATCGGAGAACGTATTCCATAGAAAGGAAAAAAAACAAAGCCGATAACTAGCGAAACTCTGTCTCTCCCGAATTCTATTTCACAGCGTCAGCTACACTCAACATGTCATGTGTCCATAACCTTCCGAGTCTCAGATGTTCAAAATATCAGTGAAGAGTTTTTTTCCACTTAGAATTCTGCTATTTTATAAACCACTCCTATTTTCGTTCTTTTACGCACTTCTTGTACCGCTTCAAATTCTTCACTTCTCTGCATCTATTGTGCCCATACCTACCGGCACTTCTGCAATAATTTCACACAAAAGGGTCGACCATGAACTAAAAGGTCTGCTTCCTGCTGAAAGTCCGCTAAAGGTCACGCAAAAAAGAAACACACAGTATATATAGTACATACAGAATACATACACATAGTGTATAGAGCAAATAACTGGGACAGCTTTTGAATACGCTATCGATGCAGACATATCAGAGAAAGCGAAGGACATGAAAGAACATTATTTAATTAGTTGAAACCCAAACTGAAAACCTTGACAGGTATGCTGACGCGAAATCACCCTTGCAGGATTCCGTCGATTCAGGGATAAATGAGTATTTGTGGTTTAATATCGCGATGACAAATTCCGATTCCGTGAATGTAGGCTAGAGCACGAAATAGCTGAAATCGACAATGTTTGGCTGCGAAGTTATCTTTGTTGTATCTTAACACTTTGACAATTACGTGTGTGTATTGCATTTGGCACACGTGGGACAGGAACGAATTCTTGGCGCATACATTTATCATCTCATTCAATGCGCAATTTTCAGTGATTAGCTACGCAATCTATGAATTACAAATTTCACATTACTACTGCGTAGAAGTACTCTGGTTTGCGTGGAACGATCAAATTGATGGCTTTCAAGAAATTCAAAAGTACTTAGTTGTCGAAATAGTCTATCCTCTTGCATTACTTTTTTCAAACTGTTTTATCTTCATGTGCGCAGGTCCAAATCAACGTTAAATACATTACAGCAACTCATATTAGTCAAAACATTGCTCTCAGTGACAACCTCAGTTTGCCGGCCTTTCAAAATCAGTCTTTGGACGAAATTTGAAGTGACCCTAAGTTGGTCCGGATCATCGCGTACTGCCTCTATTCAGTACCTCCAACTGCAACAAAGCGTATGGTAAATCTGCAACCTACCAGTTTGCTTGCTGAACACAGTAAAAGGGGCAGATCATCCCACAACGAGCATGAAGTCTTCTCCTGTACCTCCATCGTAATTCGTGGGCGAGCGTTGCCGACATAAAGTAAAGTTTCTCTAGATTTTCGGGCACCATGCCGGGGAACCGATCCACTTGCCTAACATTATTGTTCATCAATAACAGTGGAACTTCGTTGGCATCAGCTCTTCGTGAGCGAAACATTTGCAGCCTCATGAGCTTTCAAAGTTGCCTCCAGGTCACTGTTCACAAATCGGCGTTGAACCTCCTTTGTTCAACGCATTCCTGAGGCCGTCATGCTTTTCGCGTGCAGCTTAATGACATCCACTTCTGTGTACCACCAACAAAAATAACGGAAGGCGCAAATCAAATTGTCCATACAAAATTTCATCATCTTAATAGCCAGTGGTCAGTCAGATCACAAAATATCCTTTTGCCATAATTTCACTTCTTTTCGAGGCGACTGAGGAACGGCCGTTGCGCTCTAATAGAACTGGAAAAGCTTCGCTCCAGTTTACCGCGCATGTGCTCCTTGACTTCTCCCAATCGACTTCAGAATACACTCGTCACTGAAGATGGCAGACCGACCAGATTTGAGGTTTTTCCCCAAATATCTGGACGTCGGCAGTCAAATAATTGGTGTGCTGCGAAGGGTAGTCTGGAGGTCCATCACAACACGTAGTCCTCCTACTGCGCTGCTTCAATCGACGCACTTTGTGGGCTTATAAAGGCTCCGAGCAGCCAAACAACCTTCAGTGAAAAACGATTTTTTATAAGCCTTCAAACCTGCCCAATCTACGATCAGAATTTGTGGAGAGAGTATTATACCACCGGCTTAACACGTGCTGATAGATGATATTTTCAACGATTCCTCAAAAGATTTGGCAAGGATAACAAGAAAATCGCAAGACTTGCTCTCCAACTAATATTTTTGACGGATTGTGCCAAAAACACCTGTGAAGCTATCAGTTTACGTATGTACTAATTTTACTACTTTTTTTTATGTAAGAGACCATGACAATAAGACCAAAATTAGGAATGAACCAACTGCCAATTTCATAACGCTTAAAAAACTCTAAGAAAACTGAGACCCGGTGACCTGTGAACAGAGTCGTTTAGTTGTATTTGTTGTGTCCATAGAGCGCATGCATAGTCGATCGTAACGATCGTAAAGATCGCATAAACCGCGCTCGCATAGGGGAGGCGACGCGGTAACGAAATGCAAACCTAGACAACATGAGAATGCGCGTCACGGCATTTCAAAAGTCGATTGCAGTGGAGCTGCATATCGATCGTGCGACACATGCGATCGTAGCAATCGTAAATGCCGCACTATCGATCGCGCGACACATGCGATCGTAACAATCGTAAGTGCGCTTTTCGATTCGCGGCGACACATCGATGAACAATCGTAATGTCGTCACTGCTGCCGATCGAAACTACTCTAATGCTGTGGCCGACTTGTGCATATTAGAGCTATAGAATGAATAAAACATTGTGGGAGTCACCAAAGTGCGAGAAAGGGACGATTGAACGCGCAACTGGCGCAACGGCTGTCTTCAATACGTGTAAACAGCTGTTTCAAAAAAAAAATATAAATGACAGGTAAATCATAAGATCACTGAGCAAACAGTGGCTACAGTGGCTGAAAAGTATAAGACGCAACTTGATCGTTTGCTGACTGAGCACTTTCAGAATGTTTCGGAACCGTTTGCAAGTTTTGGAGATGTCTAATAAGCTACATAAGCCCGAAAATCATCTAACTAGGTCGTCACCCAAAGAATGCCTCACTTTCTTGTGTTATACGCGAGATCTCACGGTGAGTTACAACGCTTTTTGATGCAGGGCTCTTGCATGAATCTTGCCATAGAATCTCGCGGAGCAACCCTTTTCTGAAGAATTACCTACCTATACTGCATTATTGAACAATTCGAACCAAATCGACTGATGAAATGCTACAAGTTCCCGCGCGAGCCCGGGTCGCGCCGCATCTCTCACGATTTGAGCTAATGAGGAAATTTTTGAACCAAAATTCTTCGCGACCGTCACAGTCAGCGACAATCATTGTAAAAGGTGAGTGCAAATCCCAGATTACAATTGCTTTACAACAGGTTTCTTCCGATGGTGTGGCTGTCTGTGACAGAGTAATATCAAAAGTGAAGGTCATGGTGTTCATGCTTCAGAAAAATTTTGAAATAATCCACTCGTCTTGGAAAAACTATGCCTGAGGCAGTATTTGTTCTAATGATCTAACATTCGCTCAACAAACGTTTGCCCCTCCAAATAAAGTCCTTGCTCCCCTGATACTCTGATGCCGCGATGTCCGTCCGACGCAAGAATCGTGGACCTTCCTCCTGAGCCTTCAAGCCGAAGGTCTTCCCTATGTGGGGATTGGAGCGCAAGACCTCAAAAGGCTTCTACAGCCTGGTAGATGCTGTGAAATTAGCGCTCTAGAAGATGTGGAACGACATCGCCGTAGGCTACCTGAAGCGTAGGTTGATTCTGTCGTTAGACGTCAGAAGGCCTCTGTCAAAGCAGAATCGTCAGACTTAGAGCACTTGTCCCTAATTACCACATAGCCTACCTCCATCTTTCTACACTGCTCCGCATAATTATAAAGCCACCTATGTTTTTCTGCAAAAAACTTTTTCCTAAGATGCGTTCGAAGGAAGCTTCTATATGGAAAAGGATGTAGGTATAAATGTTCTTTTGCACACCAGCACAAAGTTCCAGCTTTGAAATTTGAAGAGTGTTTTTCTGCAATTTTTCGAAAAAGCCGCTCTGACCTATTCCGCATAATTATAAAGCCACCCCATACTTTCTCGTTGCCTTTCCTTCCTGCTCAATTGAATTTTTTTGTTGTTATCCACACTTCGTCTTTAGGTGAAAACGAGAGGAAAACCGTCACCATAATCTGAATAAAGGGAAATCGTAACAAAAATCGTGAAAGAGTTGAGAGGCAGTCGCACTGCCCAAATTTCGGGCCAGGTTCGCTTCAGAGAAAACAATTTCTTCGAGCATAGTGTAGGATATGGAGTAATGATTGAGCCTTGGAGATCGTCCTTTGCTTTCGGATTCAGATACACGCCGTCTCATGAGAAAACCAAACAGTTCCATCAAGTTGTGCTCGATGGCAGAACTGCAGTTCATTCGCGAGTGAGAAATGTAAAGCGCATTGTTTATGACAACAAAACATCTCAAAAACTGAGACAGTTTTGTCAAGAAGTGAAGCCGACCTGACTGGAGTGAGGGCGGTTTTTTACCTGTCATTTCCTACGCCTTGTCTTCCTTTCTCGAAACATTTTCT